AGTGTAACCGGTCAAAAGTAGTTAGTTAGGGATAAACTTGTGTTTTTCTCTTTTTTATTTGGTTTTGTTTTTGGAATTCTAAATTTATGGTGGAACTAAAGGTAGATATTTTTCTACTTTTCTGAGACGTAAGTTTTTTTTGTTTACTCACTTTTTGATCAAACATTTTTTTGTTACAAACATAAAATGAATTTGAATATAAGGGGAGACGATAAGAACAAAACATATGCAAAAAAACATAATCTTTGTTCGACCAAGGAGGAACTTCGGTCTCGACACAAACGGAGCCGCTATAGTGAGGATGAAACTGATAATGAGACAGTGGAAGATTTGGCAATAAGCCACCATGGTGATTTTGGCATATTTAGAAGAAATGGATTCATCAAATTATCACTTTTTAGTTTGAAATCGATTACTTGCAAGTAGATCTATGAATATTCTGTAAAAACATGAAAACACACCAAATTTAGATAATTTAGAAAGATACCATAGTTTATGGTCGTCAAAACTTTACATAAACCATAAAAATTGATAGGTAGAAGATAAGTTAATTACAATTTTACCTCTAGTGAAAAATATAAAAAGACAAAAATATGTGTACACAGATTATGTGCATGTACATTTTCACATGTATACAAAGATTATATGTGTACATTTTCACATGCAATGATTAACATGGAGACATGATAAATTTGTTACATGCATTTGTAAGTTTCATTATCATATGTACACATGATAAATTTGTTAACATACATACTCGTTCAATATTATTACTGTGTATACATATATTTTATTGTTCATGTGTAAAATAGTTTCATACAAAGATACATGTACATCGATTCATTTGTATTATGCACAAACTAAAACAAAATCAAATAATAGGAAAATAACATAGAAAACTCAATAAAATATTATATTCTTGAAAATTTAAATGAATTAAAATTTAAAATAAGATATAAAAATAAATAAATGAATAAAATTTCACCATGTTTTGAAAAGTCCATGTGTATTTATTAACACAAAGTGTTTGTAGTTACAAATGTAGAGATAAATTTTTGATTTGTAAATAATATGACATAGTTTTGATATATTTGTTCAAGAATTTGAAATGTGTATGTGTACATGTGAATATATTTGTTCAAGAATTTAAAATATGTATGTGTTCATGTGAATAAGTATGTGTCTATGTACATAGATTTGATATATTTGTTCAAAATTTTGAAATGTGTATATGTACATGTGAATAAGTTTATATGTGTACACAGATTATGTGTGTACACATATACATCTTCATATGTGTTCATCCTATATTCTTAAGATAATGTATATCTTCACATGTTGTAACATGGTTGTTGTCTTCGAGCCTTTCCATCGCCACAATAACACCATTTCCGACTGCCACCACGACACAGTTTCTTTCGCTTCGTCTTTCATGACCTCTATCAAAACATGCTCATATTAATGCAATCTTCATCGCCATGGTTGTCATGCAACATGTAGACCTATATTTCATTGTCCATATATACAACTATTATTGGAAATATTAGACAATCAAAATGATTAATTTGCAAATCAAAAACATCTAGGATATAAGTGAAGCAAAACAAAATGGTAGAGACAATGTTGCAAAATCAGAAAATTTCTTTGGTCTGGATTGCATGATTAAAAGTTTAGGGATAAATTCGTGAACAAACTTGAACAAATTAGAAGTTTGAGACCAATGGGAGAATAAACGAGAGTTAGAGTACCACATGTGCAAATAACCAAAAGTTCACCATTTTTGCTTCGGTTTGATCTGCAACTTAAGCGATGACGATTCTGTTGGCTATGACTCTAGTCCAGAGCATGACAACCACGGTGAGAAGGATAAAATTTGATTTGCGTGAATTACGGTAAAGCTCTATCAGACTAAAGCTCGTGGTTTGAGGTTGCTGACAATGGAGCCCTCCGGCTGCTCCGTCGCGTCAACGCTGGATTATCATGGAGATCTGTTCACGAATCGAGTTTAAGCACCGCGGAAGAAAAGACCCATAGAAAATAAAGAACGCCGTGAGCTCGCCGTGATTGCATAGCTCGTCGACTTGGAGAATCCTGATATCCATGGTACGTGACGGTGAGGGACGTTCAAACATCTTCTCAATTTGGTGATACTGATTTTACATGAAAATTCTCATTTACATTATTTTAGTAATAAAGAAGAAAAGAAAAGGTGGTGTGTAAATGTTTATGCTTTAATTAAAAAGAAAGATAATGGGAACCACCATGATTATGCTTTAGTTATAAAACCTAACAAAATTGACTAAATGGTTCAGAAAAATTACTTTGGTAAAAGAAAGTGACTTATTATATTATAAATAACTTAAAATCGTCTCTGGATGTAATTCTTTCATCAAATTACTTGGAATTGATTTATATTTAATTCAACTTGAACATTTTTTATCACTATTTAATGTTAGTTGTTAACAATATGATTGCAATCATTAATAAACAACGCTTTAAAAGGCCTCGCGTACTGCCTTAACAATAATTTGATGAGGCATCTTAAATCACTTCCCTAGTTAACAAATTATCCATGATGTGACTCTTTTAAATTAGTGACCAGAAGACCCTTCTATCTCTCTCTGCCTATATTTCCACCACTCTCTCTCCTGACACTCTATTTCAGTTCATTCGATTTCACTTCTTTCCACCCTCAAACTCTCTCATCATCTTTTTTTTGGTCATTCTCTCTTCTAATTTTTTTTTGTTTTTTTCTTTATCTGATGAAATGTTTTTTATCTTGAAGTTTCAAATTATTATTTGCTGTATATAATATTAACAGATGTATTTTTAATAATATATATAGAAAATAAGGCGGTGTTAGCTGTTAACAAATACATGTACCAGTTGTATTAACAGAAGCATTAACTGTTAACAAATTTTGTAGATGTTAACATATGTCTTAGCTGTTAACAAATACATGTACCATAATTGTTAACATAGGTGTTAGTTATTAACAAATTTGTAGATGTCAATACATGCGTTAGGTATTATATGTTAACAACTAAATATTTTCGAAGTTTCAATTTTTCTTTCGAACTGAGTAAATTTATCAGGTAACAAAACATGTATCAGTTAACAAATGAGTTAACCGCTAACAATTAATCTAACACTAATATCGAATTTATAACAAATTGTAGATTTTAGAGATGTTGAAATCTTGTAATCAATTGTAATTTATGTTTTCAGTTATATCAAATGTTAAACTATTTTATCTATTATAATATTTTTATATTATATTTTCAAAAATATTATTATTTGATAATATTTGTAGCATTAAAAAAAATCTAGCAAACATGTGAACAAAAATAAAGTAGGTATAGGCAATAAGATTCTCACTATTCTGTAACCAGTAGAAAATATACCAGTTGAAGAAGGGTATTTTATGCATTTCAAGGTGTAATTGTATGATTTGTGCCACAAACATCTATCAATAGGAAAACCGCAAATTTGAATTTTGATTTTGAGATATAAGAGGGAGGAACGTGGATAAAAAGGTGGAAAGGATGTTTAGGATCACATTTTCTTAATTTTGTTTTGTTTACTGACTTTCGAAGCCGACAAGACAATGAGGTATGGGTCTTTTACCATAGTGAGACTAACTTGAAATTCCATCAAACCACCCCAAAAAGACAAGAGAAAACATTCAACTATCTTGTTAGAATCTAGACAAAATATAAAAAGTGCATCATTCTGATTTTGAAAAAACTATGGAAGATCTCAGCCATTCTTTCATTGACATCTACGAAAATTATAGAAGCCGTGTAAATCTTGCCTTTCTCATATCTGTCATATGCATGCATGTTAATTTTTATTGGAAAAGGTAACAACCGATACTTGAATTCAAATATAGTAAAACGGCTCAAGTATTGTTTTTGCTTGGAGATCTTACACCGCCACCGACAGTCCGGCACTTTATTATGCCTTCATACTTGAATTCAGATATAATAAAACGGAAACAATCAACCACATTTAAGTGATTTGTCTGTTGCATTTTGTTGTGTATGTTTTCAGTTACATATAAAACTATAATCAATTAAATAATGCTCTACCATGTCTCCCCCTGATTACTTCCATCTTCTTTAAAAAAAAAAAAACAGAATAACCAATGCCAGAAAAAGAACCCTGATAAAATAATTGGAAAACGGATGATGAAAAATGTTGCAGGCTTTCAGTAATTGTCTCCCATTGCTTTTTTCCTTTTGGTTCAGAAATTGTAGATACGAGGATAAATGTACTTGTGTTGAATGTTGCAGTGAAACAAATGCTGCTGCAGTTATACCTCTATAAATTAATAATGTTGAGACTTTAAAATTTTATTAATTTATAGAGATATTAATTTATCAAAGTTTCCTTATTTAGAATTTTGATTTTAAGATATATTTATTCTAAAATAAGAAAAATCTTTTATTTTAGTGTATAGATATTCATTATCATTTTTTTAAATTTGACATTTATATTAAATTTTTTATATTATTTGGTGTATATAATATATATTTCATATAATTTAAATATGGTTATAGATATAATATTACTAAATCTCATCAACAATATATTAAGTGTCAAGAAAATATAAAGATAATTCCATTGTAAATATAAAACAAATAATATAATAATAAATTTTACTTATATAAAATATGTATAAATATAAATTAATAATTTATAATTTTAATGGGACCATATATTTACATAGAACTTTCTAAAAATTTATTATCTTATTATTTTATCGATTTGTGTCAAATTTTAAATAATATATTTTGTTTTATTCTACAGTAACAGCTACCGTCACGTTAAACCCTATGACAGTCCAATCATTTTAAGCTATGTCTCCAAGCTGGCGCGTGACAATAACTCTCTCGTCTCTTCTCTCACCATTGCTATAAAATCAAAAACTCTGTTTTTATTCTCACTTGCCATAACAGAGAGAAGAGAGAGAGAGAGAAGCGAAGAAGAGAGTAACAATGACAGATAAGAAATTGATTTCATCTTCTTCTTCAACTACATCGATTTACGATACTAGTAATCATCATCCACCGTCTTCCTCCGACGAGATTTCTCTGTTTCTCCGGCATATTATGAACCGTTCTTCTCCTTTACCTCTTACTATTCCACGACGACCGCTTCTGCGACGGAGATAGGATTTCACGGCGACACACATGCAGAAAACTCGAGATGTTTCGTTTCTCCTCTAACGTCGAAGCGTGTAGCTGAGTTCTCTGAGGTTTTAGTAGCCTCTTGCGTTGGATCAAGCTCCGCAGCAGCAGCGTGTTATGGTTTCTCCGGAGGTTGTGGTAATAACATTGCTCAAGGTAACATCTCAGGGACTCGTGTTTCGTCTTCTTCAGTTGGAGTTAGTGGGAATGAGACCGACGAGTATGACTGTGAAAGCGAGGTGCTTTGAAACTTCTCTCTCTGTTCATTTTTAAAAGTTTCCATCTTTGTCTGTTTTCCGACAAAATCTAAAACAATGGTTCTCTCTAAAAGATCTGTAGTTTACTTAGAGCATGATTATTGGGATTTCTTAGGGGATTTTTTTTGCGTGGATCCCATGAACGTGAATTCCATGAACAATATAAGAATCGGTTAAAAAAACTATGAATTAAGAACCGATTCTTATGGTTTCTTGCACTTTTCGCGGGTTCTACTGACATATGTTGATCCACTTTGTTTTAATTTTTTTTTCTTTTTTAGACAATAAATAATTAAGAAACCCAAGTGAGATTTCTTAGGATAATAATTAGTGTGGGTGGATTGTAATGAAAGTTTGTTAATTTGATTGAATGAAAAAAAAGGAAGGAGTAGAAGCTGTAGTTGATGATGAACTTCCTTCCAAGTCTCGTAGCTCATCGAAGAGATGCAGAGCTGCTGAAGTTCATAATTTGTCTGAAAAGGTTTTAAGTTTTTCTTGTCTTTTTTCTTTTTTTTTTTGTTTTATACAATAATCTTACTTGAGAGGCTTATGTTATCTTTTTGTTTCTGACAGAGAAGAAGATGTAGAATCAATGAAAAAATGAAAGCTTTACAAAGTCTGATACCTAATTCAAATAAGGTCAATAAATATAAACTCACATTCACATGAACTATTTTACCTTTCTTGTTGTGTCTGATATGTAATATTTATTGTAATGACATTAACGGGAAGACGGATAAGGCTTCAATGCTTGATGAAGCCATAGAGTATCTGAAACAGCTTCAGCTTCAAGTTCAGGTCTGTTATAAACACATTTTTAATTAGTCTATTCTCCGTGGGATGATATCAGAATAATAATCGTTTTTTGTTTCTGATCATTGTAGATGTTGACAATGAGGAATGGGATAAACTTACATCCTCTGTGTTTACCTGGAACTACATTACACCCATTGCAACTCTCTCAGCTCCGACGTGGGGTGGTTCCTCAAGAAGCAACCAATCATTCTCTGCTTAATCACACCAATCAATTTTCTTCCACTTCTAATGCACCAGCAATGATCAACACTGAGGCTTCTTCATACGCGTTGGAACCTTCTATTCGTAGTCACTTTGGACCTTTCCCTCTCCTTACTTCACCTGCGGTGCGTAGTTCAGTAACATCACTTTATGCATTTAGATTCTTTGCAAAAGCCAGTTTGCTTACTAGCTTTTTTTTTTGGTCTCTTAAAGGAGATTAGTGGTGAAGGCGGGTTAACTCATTCAAGGTTGAACATTGGTCATTCCAAGACAAACTTAACCGGTAAAATTTCTGATTTTGAATCCCTCAAGAAGTTCTAAGGTATTGATGACACTTTTAAATTTGTTACGATGTTTGGGGATTTTCAGGGGGACAAGCTGCATTTAACGGGCAACAAACGGAGATAAAAGATGGGCTTAGTTGAACAGAAGCATCTCAAATAGCTCTGGGTTCTATCTGTTCTTGTTTCTTAGGAAACAAGCAACAAAGCTGCCTGACAATGAAAACGCATTTAGGTTTCTATTTCCTTATATATTGTTGTTAACACTAACTCTAGAGACTAGTGTTATATGAATCTTTTCTATACCTCTTGAGCAATATGACTTCGAGCACTTCTCTACTTCCCATTTCGACAAGCTAGGGAGCTGCAATGGTTTCTCGATACAACTGAATGACGATAATGAAGTTGAAAGCCAAAACAAAAAAAAAATTGATAAACAAAACTCTTCGTCCTCTCTGTGTGTTCCATATCGACCAATCAAAGAAGTGGCAACATCTTGAGGCTTTGTCGTCGTCATTCACTAGTTGAAACTTCGATTCTCTACGTTGACTTTAGCTTGAGAAATTTGACGTTTATTAGTTATTACATACTCAAGAAGTACTCTAAATATGCTACAATACAAGAAATGACAGGGCGTAGAAATAAAACCTTATTAGGGAATCAAGAAATGAGACAGAATCACAAAAGAGGTAGTCTCTCGTCACCATCATCTTCACGAACAACCTCAATATCTGAAGGTTCAAATTTTTCAAAAGGGACCTCCAGGAGTTGGAGTATCCCGCATTCTTTTATCTTCCATGTTTTGAAATCCAAATTGAGGAGCCCGAAATCAAAAACAAGCGTGGTGGAAGTAACCTCTTCTGTTTCAACCTCTACCTCGAATGTGCACAGATTCCCCGGAAAAACTCGTTCTACCCTTTTATTACAAGCAATGGAAGCATTCCCTCCGAACGTGATGGTACAAAAGACAGATGCGGTTTCCCAAAGTAGAAAGTTATTTTCGTTATCATAAGCACATAAGATGCAAGCCTTAAATTTGGTTGATTTACCAACGGGCAATCGATTCAACTTCACAGTTAAGGAACTCCCAAAAGATCGGTAACTGAAGCATATAGGCACTTCTTCAGCGGGAAACACCGCATATTTATTAGTTGGCGTCTGGATGATGAGATCTCTTGCTTCTCGATTTAGTTTAAAGCAGTTTGCAAAGTTGAGACGAATATCTGGATTGGGAAAGGAGCAATGTAGTCTCTCTAGGGACTCACAATTTTCTGCATCTAGTTCCAGTAACGAATCCGGTAGCTGAGGGAGTGACACCAGCTTCCTCATTCCGCTTAGTACAAGTCGACGTAGACGAAGTATTGTCCCTATCCATGGATCTAGCTCTTCAATGTTTGTTGAACTCTCAGAATACTTAACGGTGTTATTCTTTTCGAATTTCTGGTTGGAAAGTAAGCGCTCTGTAAAAGGGAGTTGGTCAATGATCTTTCCACTACCTCTCGAGCAATCTGACTTCGTGCATTTCTCTGTTTCCGAACTCAACAAGCTAGGGAGCTCCACAAGATTCGAGCAATTTTCGAGATTCAATTCTTCAAGATTAACTATATTCCAAATAGAGGAAGGAAGTTTCACTATACTTGAGCAACTTTGAGATTCAATGTTTTGAGATGAAATGCATTTCCAATTGAGGAAGGGAGCTCCACCAAACTTGAGCAATTGCTGAGACTCAAGTAATATAGATTAATGGCAGTTGATAGATCAGGAAGCTCCTTCAAACGTCTTGAAAGACTCAAATCCATCCACTTGAGATTGGTTAGCGGCTATAGTGACAAATAAAGGAGGCCACAATAACAACACGTTGACACAGTTAGTATTAAACACATAAGAAAATTGGTTAGATAGCCTAACTTGGGAATTCATTTATAAAAAGAAAATATTACTTACTTTATTTTCTTCCCACAATTTCTCAAGATTGCTATTCCGCGCGTATAGGTTGACTAGAAACTCTGGATTAAATCTTGAGGGAAAACATGGCATGGGGAACATCGGCCAAATTAGTACTTTAAGTTTTCGGGATATGTAGTTCAGACTTAGTGGATTAACGCCTCTGCCAAGGATTCTTATGAATTGAAGATTAGACAACCTTTCAAAGGTTCTTTCACTTGTCCATGTTATGTCCTTATTCCACTCAAAATCAATCCCTATGACACTGCTATTACCCTGTAAAACAACCAGTAAAACATAAATAGAGGATAGTTAGTTACAAAATAATCTCAAATTTGTAGAGAGCACGCAATGAAAATACCAATCTTAAAACTTACTGCTTTATCATCACTAAGTACTTCACCAATATCGATTGCATCATTCAAAAACTGGCGTTTTCCAGGTTCACTAACGGATTCTTTTTGCACAATTTGTCTTCCTAGTTGGAATAGTAACGTAGACATCATTATCAATCCTGATTTGCTATATATGAGAGATTTTTCAGATAGGACACGAAGTCCTTGTCTCACATCCTTAAAACTTTTTTCCAGACATCTTTCCACCATATCAACTGGTTCACCACTGAAAAAGCAGGCTATATGCAGAAATAATCTTTTATCTTCGTCACTTAAGGCATCATAACTAAACTTTAAAATGCTCGCAATTTCTCCGTCACGGTCAAGGTGAGTCTTTAACCTTGGTAGTGCTTCTCTCCAATCTTGCTCTGACATTCCTCGAAAATAGGATCCCATAACCCTCAGCCCCAACGGAAGTCCACCTACAAGACTCCTAACTTCACAAGCAAGCTTCTTGAAACCATCCTTAGGATATTTTTGACCAAAAGCATACATGCAAAACATTTGAAGAGCCTCATCATCTGATGGTAAATTCACCCTATGTATATGGCCGATCCCACTTGCTTTTAAAAGCTTCTCATCTTGCGTTGTGATAATAATCCGACTCCCAGGACCAAACCAACTAGTTTCTTTTGCCATGGCTTCTAGTTGTACTAACTGATTCACATCGTCAAGGACGACAAGAACTTTCTTGTCTTTCAACCTGTCTTTGGCAACTCCCAAATGTGGAATCTTGATACCCGTCTCGTTGGTTAGTTGAGACATAAATTGCTTCTGTAAATCTAACTTTACACTGTAGTCATCGGAACAAGCCATTATCACATACTTTCTTTTGATATTGTCCATAAAGACACTTAGCTGGAAATCTTGGGAGTGTTGGTTGAATAGAGATCTAGCAAGGGTGGTCTTACCAATCCCAGGCGGACCCAAGATCCCTATTTTTCTCACCTCATCCGAATCTAGCTGTAACACTTGTCTCATTTCTGCCATACGAGATTCCATCCCAACTAATCCGTCAAAGTCAGCGGATGGTGCTGACAGGTTCAACTTGTTCGAAACATCAGTGGCAATATCTTCAATCATCTCTGCTTCAGTCTCCCTGAACAAGACGATGATCAATAATTCTGTTATATATTCATGAAATATTCGCACATACTTGTATGAGTACTTAACCGTAGATCCAGAAGGAAAAAAAGCAACACTTGTTCGATGACTACATACTTTAACACATACACATTTTTTCTAGAAGATATAAAATTCCAGGAAGGTTGTTGTTTAAAAGCTACAAAGATATAGAGGTCGTTGATGTGCTATAAAGATTAAGAGAAAGAGGGGATCAAGATGACGAACCCGTTTGCTGAATGGAAACCTGCGATTTGGGCCACTTCCCCCAAAGCATGTTTCCATCTTTGGATATCTTCCTTTGTTTTTCCTCTACAAGTTTTTCCCAAGACTTTTCCAAAATCACCAGTCTGCTTCTTTATATCAGTTGGATCCACTTGATAGAAAAGAGGCATCACTGTTTGACCAAAGTCGTCTCTGCACTTCATGATCTCCACTAGCTCGTTCAAGCACCATGTCGAAGAAGCGTAGTTCTGCGAAAGCAAGACAATCGCAATCCTAGATCCTCTAATAGCTTCTACGAGCTCAGGACCGATCAGCTTACTCCTCTCTATATCATTGTCAATGAATATATCAATTCCTTTGCTTCTTAGCTCCTTGAGGACATGGCTTAGAAAGTTTGTGCGTACATCTGCCCCATGGAAGCTTGGGAAAACATGATATTTCCAATTGCGAGGAGTCAAAAGAGCTAAAGAAGAAGAAGCCATTGTTTTGTTTTCTTGATGGGATCTTGATTTTTTGTTGAAAAATATTGTACCCAAGAGCGCCAAGAAGCATATTGCAGCAGCAACAAGATTGGTAAGGGAGAAATAAGAATCCATACTAGTATGATGAAGAGAGGATAATCAAGATCTTAGAGCTTTCTAGATAAGGAGGAAGAATTTACGAACAAAGAAACTCTTTGTATATACCAACAAGGAACTGTTGATCATTTACTTATTGTTTTAAATTAATAATGAGATAGTTTACTTATTGTTTTTAAATAGTATAAGTGGATTTGTATATGCATATAAATGTCATGTATTACCTGGAAATTAGAGCGGATCATCGTTGACGTTTACTCTTGTAACAAAATAATATCAGTGACATGTTAGATTATTCTTTGTTTGCTTTAGTAAACAGGAGATCGGTGGAATATGCATATGAAATCCCAAGTAACAATAACGTATGCCGTTTTGCTTCCTACGGTTTTTGACTATTTGCATTCATTTTCACATGGAAAAGAAAAGATGTCAATAATATGTTTCTCACAATGGATAACAATCAAGGAAAAGGGATGCATTGAGAAATCAGCACAATAATGATAGATGTGTGTAAAAGTCTAACTGTGGTAAAGTTAGGCTTGCTTCATGACATGTTCAGTAACTGCAATGGTTTCTCAAAAATAGAGAGAATACAATTGGATGATGATAATGAAGTTGAAATCCATAAATAAATTTCTAAGATGAATGTGCTTAATCTTATGTGTCTTCCACGTCACATCTTCTGCACAATCATTTGCATAGTCAACCTCAAAATCAAAAACAAGTGGAAGCCACCTCCTCTGTTTCAACCTCAATCTGCACAGATTCCCCGGAACAACTCCTTTTATCCATTTAGACCACCCAGTGAGAGCAATCCCTCCGGACGTGTGTGACAACAATAGACATAAAAAAGTGGCCAGTTACCAAATCCCTCTTCGTC